ATAATCTAATATTTGTAATACAGCTCGGCACACTCAAGTTTTAAGAAATGTTAAGTGGTTTCTAAATATGTGATAAAATCGGTGTGTTTATACCTCAAATGCTAGGATTTCCTTTTCCTTGAAATGCTATGAAGGAAATTACTTGCCTACGGAAACATTATGCTTACATAATAATATAAATTCAATATAGGTCTCAGATTAGCTGTGTTTAAGCTCTAATTAATATGGTCTTAGTAAGAACGTTATCTATTATAGTTAATACTCTGCTAATTGACTACACAAACCATTATGTAAAAAGCTGCTTATACTAGTCCACTAAGAGAATTAATGAGACCCATACTTTGACTTGCACTGTTTCTCAGGTGAGTCTGTGTTAAACCTGGAAATTGCAATTAAGTCATAGATAGCAGAGTAACTTGTGGATCAATGTGATTCTTTGTTTACTATTAATGACTCAGCAGTCACTTTAAGTCTCCAATCAGGAATAAGGAAAGATACCAGGAAATGATATTTAAAACCAAAGTATTTTGGTAGAGAATTTTGAAGCAAATGTTTTATCATTTTATGAATCATTGCCTGTGTAATACCTAGTTGGAATTTTATTTCTTTTATGTAAGTTCTACTGGAAAAAAATGTTATTTTGTAGAAATAAAAAAGTTTTGCTTGAAACACTTATTTTGGCAATTATGAATGGTCTGGTTTCAGGATTGAAGCTTGTCTCTCCACTTTTCTGCTTCCCTTTTTTAGGACAGGAAAATATAAGCATCAAACATCAGTATATTCCAATTGAAACATTAATATGTTAACAAGCATATGCTATGAAACGTTGGAGTGGGGATCCCCTATAATTTTTTTTTCAAAAAGTTTCCAAACCTAATAGAGTCATGAAAGGGAACAGTCTCTTTCAAGGTCATCCTAAGGGAAGATGTCCATTAACTGTGGGTAAATGCTTTCATGTTCAGACTCCATGCAAGGTTTTTGTTTTTTCTTTTTTTTTTTTTCCTTTTCATTTTTTGGGATCAAGATGAGACAGAGTTATTTTTAGAGTTTTTTTTAATGTGTAAGAACTAGCAAAAACCTAAAAATATAAAGATTTACATCAACATAGAAAAGAGTAACAAATCTCTGCTTAGAGGGAAGTTGTCTACTGTCCAGGTAGATGTAAATAGATAACAAACTTAATCCACAGGAAGGCAGATTAAGCTGTGGTAAGAAAGAGTTTTATATCTGTAAGGCTAGCTGAACACCAGAGTAAACAGACTGTGGAATATGGCAAATCATCATTTTAAGAAACAGGCATTTTTCATAAATCATCTAAAAATTACAGCTAATTTAACATTACTTTGAATTTCATCAGCCTAATACTCTCAAGTTACAAAAAGATATTTCAGTCCACAACATTCATCTGCTTCTTGAACCAATATAAAATTTATTGATGATACTGCTTTTGCTACTGGCAAAACACTTTTTAATGCAGATTTGATCTAATCAATAGAAGTGGTGACAGATTTTCTCATGATGGTGAGGCTATGAGGCTACTGACCTTTTCTCAAAGCCAGCATAAGCTAAATTGTTCCGCACACTATCCCCTCCTTTTGCTGGTGCACTGATATTCAGATCAATAAATTCATCTGTCTGACAGAAACCCTGCGTAACTGAGGGAATATGCACAACCACGTGGGTCTGGGGCATGGTGGAAGAGAGATGTTACTGCTGAAGAAAGGATATGTGTAATAACAAAATTTGCTCTAGGCAGTACCATCGAACATACACCCCCCAGTTTCTATTTGAAAACAAAGAATCTGCAACAAAGAATTTCCAAGGAATATTGACAAATCCTGCTATTTTTAACCTTATGTGCAAATTATTTTAAAAGGTGTTTCTTTAAATGAGGTGCTGAGCAGTTGCTTGAAAGATATGCAGTACCTCAACTACTGATGAAGTGAAAGAACTCAGGTCAGTTAGAATCCTATACAGGTCAGAACTTAATTCATGACTATTTTTACACATTTCAACAGTATGCCCTGCTTTTTAACCAGCTTCACAGGTACATTTGCAAATGAGAAAATACATTAAACATTTCAGAATTGCTAATCAATCAAAACACATTACTGATATACATGAAGAAAAGATAAGTTGCAGTGAGAAAAAGTAATGTAAATGAGCTGAGGTATCATAATTGCATTTTATGTTTTAGCTCAAAACCTATAATTTCCCTATTTCTCTGTCATTTTGAGTCTCTTCAGCAGGCATGAGCTCCACTGTCGTCTCTAGGATACTTTCACCAATACTCATAGTTTAATATGTAGAATTCTAATATACTTAAATGAAAACTTCAGCAACTGATCTTGGAAATCTTGGTCAGTCCCTATGTAAACCATGAATTTTGAATGCATTTTAAAGATACACCATTTCCCAGTCTAGTGGTTGTTGAGGTGATACACTCAAGTAGCTCTAACAGCTGAGGATCATAATTTCCCTGACAACTCCTAGCCAATATGTTCTTGATGGCATAGGATCCAATTCTGCAGTTCTTGTCCAAAAATTCTTCTGCCTTTTGGAAGTCATAGCTGCACGTCTATGTAAGATAGCAAATGAGTTATTTGGAAAGCAAGGACAAGGTAACTTGAAAGAAAAGTAGAGCATAAGAATTATATCAAAACCTGAGTCCTAGGTGGAATTTTTGATAATACCACAAAGAGTTACCAAGTGTCTTTTTTTCTCATGTAATTGCCTGTTAGGGTGAAAAAGGGTTCATAACAATGTTGTTAATAATTGATGCCTCTCTTTTCCTCTGTTGAACAGACTTTCCATGTCATCAACTAAGGGCATGATTCAACTCCTTTTATGGTCTGCAACAAACTCCTACCCATATAGGTGATGGGGGAACATGTGTGAGTCACAGTTGCGGAACAGATAATACACACTAAATTACATTCTTATTATTTAATATTATTTTAAAAGCTAAGGTTCATATGGCAAAAACTACACTGGTGCCAATGGTCCTTTTCACCCAGTTTTCACAGTCCTTTAGAAACTTCATTGACGGATTATGAAAATATATATATATATATATATATATGATATGAACCCTTTGTCTACATCTTACTGCCACCGTAAAGCTTTCTCATTTACAGAGCAAAGTAATATTGTTGACATCACTTAACATTTAGCCAAGTTATTAAGAGACCTGAAATTATTTGCTCTTTCTGACCAGTTTTTCTGTTCTTCTGGAAAACTTTGAATTTCTTTAATGGAAATTTTGAGTAGCACAAGTTCATATATATGACTATATATTTTATTAATATTTCAAACTCCTATAGTAAGTCTTCTCCAATGAACATATTAGTTTTGCTGAAGCCTACTGACAACTGAGCACCATAAATGATGATTATCAAGGCAATATTAGAAAGTCATAAAGAATCCCTGTACAAACACAAGATTATCAGAGGTGCGCATGAAGCTCTCCCAGCTCTTGCAGATGGCCAGTACAAAGTTTACGTGGCACTGGAAACAAAATGAGATGGAAGACACTTCAAACATTGTGATAAGGCATCAAATGACTCAGACTGATTTTCTTCAGGGAAAGATCACTGCACTTTGCACAGTACTGCATTCCTGGCTGTGAAAATTCAAGTTAATTGATAGCCAGTAGCTTAGACCAAGAGAAGAACACAAACATTTTTGTTGAAATGAAAGTATCTTGAAATAAAGTATCTAGATTAACATTTACAAAGCTGTTAACTGACACAAGTTAATGCAATCAACTCAGAGGAGCTGATTCACAGACTTCAGCTAAGGTATTAATCAAACTTATTGCAAATAAAGTTTCCCAGATAAATTTTCCAACTAACACCTCTTTGAGACCAATGGACAATAAAAAGGCATTAATTTTCTCCTTTTTCACTAGTTTTATACAAAGCCTGTGTGGGAACATTTGTTGAAGTACCTGTTATACCAATTTATCTGTAACAGTCTCAGCATGGCTAAATAGGGTTAGATCAGTGCCTACTGCAGCCTGATGGATGGTTCTCATGTATATTTCCATGTAGATTGGTCCTTAGAAGGTGATTTGATTATTTAAAGAACAATTTGCCATATTAAAGAATCATGTAAACCTATGCTTTGAGGCTCCTGGCCACTGTAAATAGGTAAATGTCATTAAAAAAAATAATAAAGTGAAAAAAAGTTACAACGGCACCTTCTTCTGAATACAGCTACTCACTGATTACCTAAAACTATGGAGCAGCTACTTGCAACAGATCTTCAACACATACATGTTTCAGTATAACCATCTCAAAAACTGGCTGGGGTATGTTGTACAAATTTTGACCACAAGCTGGCCTGCATATGCCACTGTAATTTATATAGCTGATTACCTTTCACTTTCTAAAGGATATTAACTGGCATGAACTTTCATTTTTTTTACTTCCAGTAATTAATTCCCTGTAGAGAGTGACTGAAAACACTAAACAAAAGCATTTAATCAGAAATTATTAGAGTTGGTTTGTCAGCTGTTAATCAGCATGCATTTTTGTACAAGGAGTGAAAATTTTATTAAACCTCAATTGAAACATATTGTTTCTATAGCAGATCAGAAAGTAGTCATCTGTTTAGACTTGTATCCTAAGATTCATTAAAAGCTAGTTACCTGCAACATGCAGGCATTTAGAAATTCATTCTGCTGGGCACTGAATGGAGCTACAATGGGTGAGGGTTGCAGCACAGTCAAGTATTCTTTTATTGAAGGTCTTCCAAACTTCTACCATAATGCAGACTGACAGCACAGTGAAGGAATACTAATGAAACTAAATGGGCTTAAAACTGGAAAGTGAAGAATACTAAGGAGGAAAAAAATTGCTTCACAGATTTTCAGATTCATTGTGGTAGCCTGGTCTTGTGAATGATATGGGCACTAGAAGTTTGTATAATCATTCCTGCTTGAATCTTTATGACAATACTGATTTTTTTAAAAAGTGATTTTGTATATATCTGCCATTTCTAGGGAAGTAACTACAGCAACTTATTCAAAGCTGATGAAACCTGAATGCTCTGGTGTAACCTTCGTCTAAGATTCAGAAGGAAAAATGCAGTAAAATGACAATGACAGATCACTTTTTATTATTACAGTGAGATGCAAAGGCTTGCAAAACGCTGCTTGTTTCCAATGGCTTCTTAAATATATCAGTGTCCTGCTGCATCATCGTTATGTAGGAACATGTAAGAGGTGCATATCTCATTACTGTTTTCTGGGAAGAATGTTGTATAGGCCCCTGGTCTTGCCAGAGTGCAACAGATGCTGCTGTATCCATCAAGATGACTCAACAGCAGCCAGTCATTTGGACAAAACCAAGATTAAGAGTTGGCTTGTTGGACCAACTGGCAACAGGGGAATCTCATCACTATGTCTGCTGCTTGTTGTGTGTTGTAGAATCTCACTATTACGAAGCTCAAAAAGTTTTGCTCTGTCTCTGCATGTTCCTCAGCCCAGGGTTCACCTTTGACTATGTGGATTTCTTGTTTCTTCACCATTCTTTACCATTTTTGCAACAAACCCTTTAGTTTCACATGTCTCTTGACTTTCTTGATTTCTCTGTCTCTTGCCTCCAGCCCTGACATCAGCTATTTGCTAACAACTTTCATGTCCCAGGTGTATTGCTGCTGTGACGATATTAAAGGGATTACACTCAGAACATATGGTCAGATGTAGCAGCAACAAGTCCAGTACCTCACTGAGAGCCAGATGCAGACATGGGTAAAAAGGTATTAATGTTTTATATGATTCCTATTTATCATTAGCGGGCATTGATTAAGTAAGTAATATGACCTATCTCAGGCATACAGCTTTGCTCTGAAGCACTTGCAGTCTAGAAAGGCAAACAGTAGGCAAAGTGTAAGGGGGAAAGGATGAATATATTTTTTAAAAACAAATACCATCTATTTCCACTGGCCCTCTGCCTAGCATTATTAACTTGCAATACTTTGTAGGCATCCAAGTTGAATCTTCCTGCTGTTACTGGAAAATTTTTCTTGGCTCAGATATGAAAACAATTTCCTTTCAAACTCAACACTATGTTGTTACAACATCCACTTTGATAATCTAATGGTCAAATGTGATGACTGTCTCCTGGAGCACCTCACAGGGACACTATTGTTGTGTGACGGTGACCTTACATCTGGGAACAGCCTTGCTTAGGGCTTTCCAAATGTCTTACAAGGCCATATGACAGATATGTGTAAGGCTCCATGTCAGTCACACTGGTTTAAAAACTCCTTGACAGTCATGCCGCTTGTGACTCCCTGTGCTGCTGTGACATATGACCCTTACACTGCAAATATTCTTCTATATTATGCAAGGGTGTCACTACAGAAGGAGGATTATGTGATGTCATGGCTAGAGTCTGATCCTGCCTCATCCCCAGATGTACAAGCAGAAAACAGTTGAGTGGATTAGTATGTAAGTGGCTTTTAGAGGCAACTGCCCCCTTATTCTGACATTGCTAGGTGAACAGATGCTAGGTGTTGCTAGATATTGCTGCTACGTGTTGCTGAATGGCCCCAATCTGCTCAATAACCATCTGCATCAACTTATAACATAGGATAACCCTGGAGAAAAGCAGCCAGTGGAACCAACTCACCTTTGTCACATGCACTGGTACCTTATTTTTACTTCAGGCATGTACACATTACTCTATTTTTATCTCTTGACAGCTACAAGACTTAGTCATAGTTGGTAGCTGATCTCATCTCCTCTTTACTGGGAAAAAAAAAATCTAGTCAGAGCAACCATATCACTTCTAACAGGAAACTGCATCAGCCACAGCTAGTCTGCTAAAACAGAAGACACACCAAAGCAGAAAACATTGATAAAAGTAGGTGTTTAAGGTAGGCCTTAGACTGCCCTGGTAGAATGGAGCTGTTGGAGGAGATCTTTCACTGCCTCGCTTAATGTTCCTAGCTTCAGTAGGTCAGTATGCTAGTGTCATATGTAGCAAACTCTCTAGTCTACCACACAGTTGCCTATGAAGCCTACATGTTCCTGTTGGAGCAAAGGGTTTATTATTAATTCAAATGTCTTCTAAAAACTACTATTTCTCAGGCATATGAATTCCGTGTTGTTTTCTACCTTTCTTAAAATGACAATCAAACCATACCACATTGTCAGGTTCCCCCTCTGACTCCTTACCCATTGCTATTTTCACTGTTACCAATATGTCTTCACTTTACCAGCAGTTAGCTTGACAAGCTGGAGAGAAAGAAAGAGAAGATCTCAGGTCTTGCTTATCTTGACTTTAGAAATTGATGTTGTCATCAAGAGAAGTGTTAACATAATGAGAGCAAACTTGACTTTCAGAAAAATCAGTTAGCTGGAGTCAAGTAGTTACATCCCTTTGGCTTGAAATCAGTCAAGTTCAGGGAATGCAGGAATGACTATGTGTTGTATACAGCACAAGCAGATCGGAGTAAGAGTCTTCCCAGACTTTCTTTGGGCCATCTCCAAAGGACTTGGAAAGGCCTGTGTAATGAACTGCTAAAAAACTACCAAGTGGGCAGATGCAGAAGCAAAGGCAAAGGTATATATCTGCTTTAACTATGTTAGCTTCATGAACTGTAGGGCCTGGGGGAGACCTGAAGTTTGATTGGAACATTTCTACCCTGTGACATATCAAAAGAAAGATTATGGATCTACCTCTCCTTCTTCTCCCAAAGAAAGGAAAGGCTGACCATCAGCAGAAAAGCTCATAAGGTGAGTGAGAATCACATGATCTCACGCTGCCAGTGACAGGGTGAGGAACATTGAGGGCATGACAATGCACAAAGATGATGTCTTGGAAAAGTCCTTTCATCGAGGGTTTAGGGATCAGTACTGCAAAGATTTTAAGCACTAATAGCACATAATATCACTATCTAAAGTTCTGTCTAGACTTGGAGACCAAGGACAGATTGTCCTAGATTAGACAGGTTTCAGGGAGATTAGATAAAGTCCCTCGATTTATTTTTTTTCTTTAACTTGTGATATTAATGAAACAGAGCTCATTAGTATATCATTAATTCAGTAGAGCTCCTTTCAGGTACAAGTGTGAAGACACATGGAAATCAAGTGCTTGGTCCTTAACATTAACAACAAGCTGTAATTTTCCTCAGAAGGATTCACTATCTTTTAAACTGTTAAGGTCAAAAATCTCTTTATCCTGAGAGCTCCATGGCAAATGATTTTGTTAACACAGATTTCATTTACATCGTGGGACCTTCAGCCTTTCCAGACAGTTAAGATAGGCAAGGCTCCAACAATGAAAATGAAAGGGAGGAGTTTCCAGTACTCACTCTTCTCTCCAGCACCTTGAGGAGTCATGCCAATTTTAAGGCAACCAAAGCCCTTATGTACTACTGCGGAGCACCTAGTCTGAAAGAAATCAGCACTTCTTTGGTTAGGTGTTAAATGCTCCAGTCTTCTCATTAGGAGATTCTCATTAATGAAAACACCTCCTGGGGATGAATGCAGGGAGAAGACAATTTAGAACTGAGAGGTGTAAAGGGCTACATTCACTTTGGTGGATCCTCATCCTCCCTTATCTGGGGCCAGGTGCTTACAGTCTGTGATCCTGTCAGCTCTTAGTAGCTACCACAGGAAGCTTGGTAGTTGTTTACATCATAAACCTATGTCATAGATATCACTACCGTAGTAACAGAGAGGAACAGTCAGGCAATTTCAGTGTACCAGAGACCCCAGATCCTACAGTCTCTGCTCCCAGAGAAGACCCAAGGGTCAGTGGAAACGTTCAGTCCTCTCTTTCCATCCTCCCTTTCTTCTCCACATGCCTCTCTGCCTGAAGAGAGAAGGAATCATTGAACCCTCTCAGGTCAGACAAGGAGAAGGGAGAGAACTTTGGATAACGGCAGTGGCAAAGGGATCTATCAGGTCTTGTTCCTAGTAAGAGAAAAGGTATGCAAAAATTCTGACCCCAGTTTCCTTGGGAAAGTATGTAGACAACCTATGAGACAGCATGAGAGGCAGGGACATTTATTGCTCTTGTTTTCATGAAGGACAGATATTACACACAGACTCACACACACACACTTTTCATTCCTAGCATGCATTTGGCCTTTAAAAGGTATGTCCCAGGTTGTCCTTTTCCATGCCGTGCTCACCTTGTCCTCTGTCATCCCTTTCCCTCCTGAACTCCTCTTCCTGCTCGGGAAAATTTGGGAGAACTCTATCCAAATATCCTTCCTCTCTCAGTCTCTGTCATTCTCTACTGCCTGCCCCCAACAAATACACCCACATCTAATTCCTTTTCAGTTTTCCAAACTAGTTTGAGTACTATTTGAGCTGTATTTCTGACTGTGATTAAACAGTTGGCAAGCAGCTACAGTGTTTGCCAAAAAACATAATACTAGCAATGGAGAGGCTGATTTCAACAATCAATGCAATTTCAACAATTAATTTTTAAAAACAATGTCCTTTGTCCTCTTCTTAATACTGTTTGTTACACTTACTACTGTTGCTGCCTTTACTTACTTAGTTGTAGTACTTATTGTAGAAACCTGGAAAAGAAAGTTGTTATCTCTTTCTGACTCTCAGTGAACAGAAACCCTGTATGTATTATTGAAAAAAAAAAAAAAAGAAAAAAGGAAAAAGGCTGGGGATGCATTCTTCCAACCCTTTCATCTGCATTTGCAGTAGGTCTCTGAATGTCAAGTTCACGCATTAATTTTAGACTTAGCTGTTAGCCAAAGAGCCACAGTGGAATTTTAACATTAGATGCTCAAAGCCAAGAAAAATGACAATGATTACAAGTTATTAAATGTTAAAAAGAAAGAAAGGAAGAAAATAAATCCCTGCATATCTGTTCAGTACTTAGAGAAATTTCATCAAAAAAATTCAATTAGTTCCCTGCACATGTCACATGGAACACATCAGTTTCATTGCTTCAAGTAGAATTAGGCTGAGAGACCGCAGAGCATTTAGGAAGGAAGCGAGACTGGGTCTCCAAGCAGCAGCAGCACCCCCACCTGTGCTCTGCTCAGGGAAGTGACTCCCAGCTCCTCTCAAGAGCCATGTCTAGACAGTGACAGTGCATAAGCAGCCAGCACCAAATGAGGCTTCAGTAGCTGAGTCTAGTTATAGTTTTGATCTACAAGACAATTAAAAATATTAAAATCCCTGAATCTTAAGTGTGTGAGGGTTTTGTTTTGGTTTTGCTTTTTTTTTTCCCCTGAAGAGAACTGTCACAATAAAAAGGTAATTAATAGTGTATTTGGCTGTTATTGTCCTTATACAAAATTGATTTTCCTGGTGTGAATTAGGTTTTTCTCCAAGATAAGATGCACTTTGAATAATCCATGACTCTATCCTGGAGCAAACTGAGATTTATGCCAGAAAAAACAAGAAATAATATTTTTAAAGGTAAATTGAATCACATTCCATTCTTCTTGTGTGAGGCTCTTTATTTAAAACACACATTGCTCATTTGAGGAGTATGAGATATAATTTAGACCAAACACTTTATGTATGTAACAGTAGAATTACTACAAAGAAACAAAAGGAGAATCCAAACAAGATTTTTAGAAGAAATTTACATGCCAAAAAACCCAAATAGATTACTTACACTCCCAACATTAGGAAATGGCAAACTTAATACTAAATCAGCTTTTATCTAGTAAGGTAAATGCTTTAGAGGAACAGAGATGATCTTTTGAAAACAACAATGCCTTTTTAATGTGTACATATTAAAAAGGCACATGCATGATGTACATTTCCTCATCATTACATTTCCTCACTTGGCCCCATAATTTTGTGAAGTAAACGCCATTGACCAGCATGCCAGCCTAGACAGTCTGACCTTTAGTAAAAGTTTTACTTAATTCCAGCTTAATTACCCTTCAGCTCAGCAAAAGATGATATAGAGTTATAAACCACAAATGAAACATACATTTATATTATCAACTGTTCCTTCATAAGACATATTGAAATAGCCTTAGAAAGATTATTTAATATTTTTAATGTGAGAAATATCAGTTCTTCATTTCATTTTCCTTGATGAAAGTCATTGTCAATGTCCTCGGAATGGCAAGATGTCTATGAAACCTACAAGTGGCCCACAACCGGAAAAGAAAACCCATGCAGGAGGAATGCTTCTTCTTTGACAATAAATAGCAATATTATGGTGCTATTTATCAGGCAGGGGTAAAGATAGTATTTTATTTGCTTTGCCATATGTCTACATTAAGGCTTGTATTGCATATATTTTGCTGGATGCACAGATAATGGCTATCATAAAAGTAACTAAAAGGAAAGAGTTTAAAATACAAAAGCCAAATGCTTTTAAAAGTGATTTTCAAGATATTGTTAAAAATAATTTTGTCTTTCTCTCTTATTTAATATGTACAAAAATTGCATAGGAGGATTCTTAAAGGTTTTTACTCCCATTTTAACAGTTGAGAATAAACACAATAATATAAGTGAAAAAAAGTAATTTCAAAATCAGTGTAAAAATACAATATGCTAGAATACATGTATCTATATATTTTCATCAGAAGAGACAGTGGAAAATGGATTAACTCTTTTATTCCACATTTGGTGCTCATTATATTCTTACTGCATCTTCAATCGTGAAAGAAGCACCAGGCAGTGAGGGAGTTCTCTGATGCAAAGCACTTCTCCCTCCCTTGTATTTCTGCATGAAGGGACAAAACAACTACTTTTCTGTAGTCTGAATAACTTCCCCGAGTGTCATCGTTCAACCCCAGCTGCCAACCAAGCCCCACACAGCGGCTTGCTCACTTCACCCTGATGGGATGGGGGACAGAGTTGGAAGAGTAAAGTGTGAGGAAAGTTGTGGGTTGATATAAAGACAGTTTAATAGATAAAGAAAAAGTTACACACACAAGCAAAGTGAAACAAGGAATCCATTCACCGCTTCCCATGGACAGGCAGGTGTTCAGCCATTCCCAGGAAAGCAGGGCTCTGTCACTCATGACAGTGACTTGGAAAGACAAATGCCATCACTCCCCCTTCTTCCCTCAGCTTTTTATACCAAACATGATGCCACATGGCGTGGAATATTCCTTTGGTCATTTGAGGTTAGATATTCCGGCTGTGCCTCTTCCCAGCTTCTTGCGCCTCTCCAGCCTACTCTACGATGAGGTGGTGTCAGAAGCAGAAAAACTCGGACTCCAAGTAAGTACTGCTCAGCAACAGCTAAAACATCTCTGTGTTTTCAACACAGTTCCCATCACAAATCCAAAACACAGCCCCATACTAGTTACTGTGAAGAAAATTAACTCTATCCCAGCTGAAATTAGCACAGTGAGTAACAAGGGACTTTGCAGGAAAAGAAAGTTGTCATTAAAAATGTAGATGTGCACTAATTAACATTATCCTTATAGCTCAATCATCTAGACAATATTCGTACTTATAACACTCAAAGATAAAATATTCTGCAATTGACATGAAGCTTACCTTTCTTCAAAAGTGGAAAAACTCACCTGCTTAACTCTCAGTCAAATGTAGAAAGAAAATATTTACCCAGATTTTGTATATTTTTGTTCCTGTATCCAAAATAACACACACGAAGTGATTTGCACTAGAATTTCCTACCCAGAGTTAATAACTGTAATAATCTTTAGATCAGACACATAGATGAGAGTATATCAGAATATACATGCAAGTGCTAGTATATACAAAGCCTTCGTCAAAAAAAGACCTGAGGTTTCTGACCTAATGTGGCCAGTAGATAGAGCAGAAAAATTGTCCAAGTGGCTGTTTAACTTTTGAGCATTAGAGAATTGCAGAATTTTGTACTTAATCCTGGGATTAAAAAAAGAGTCAAAATTTCAGAAATCTTTGTTTTGGGGTATTTAATTTATAATTGCAGTAAAATTCTCCTAATAAGAGGATTGCCATTATCTCTAAAAGCATAACTTAGTCAATTAGTCACATTTAGCTTCAGTAAAAGCCACTGATGTTCTCTTCAAGTAACATTGCCAATCACTTAATATTACTTATCTGCCTTTTCATTATATATAGCAACAAAAGATTTAATTGCATCTATTTCTCCAAAATGTGATCAGTAGTTCTTAAGTGTAGTCTTTTACTTGGTTCAGAAGAACAATTCTTTTTCCAAATCAAATCTCCCAAAAATGGTAACTGTTTTTTGACATGGACCATGCAGCCACCATAAATTTGGCTCCTTGACCAAACGTAACAGCAAGAGGAAATCAGAGTGATTATTGATTCTGATATATTTGCTTCTGTTTACTTGTACAATATGATTTAGTTCCCTCATTATTACCTTTACATCTAATTTTCATATTCTCTCTTATCAATTTTCTCAGGAGGCTGTGTGTTGTTCTGCTGAAAAGTTAGGGTTTTACTGAGAAGTAGAAGTAGAGAAGAATGTTACCATTCCCTTTATCCCACATCTATCCTTGTGTACAGATGCTGGGTGTTTGACCTTTCAGTAAACAACATGTAAGCTGCTACTAACTGATTTTCTTAGGAATGTCAAGTTCTTGAATGCTCCCAGCTCTCCAGTCACT